TAACCATACAGACATCCCCTCTGCACTGAGGAAATGCTGGCATATGCCTGCAGTGGCTCAGGCTAAAAGCTGGGGAACAGTAGAGCAGCCCTCCCTTCCCTTCCATAGTGCTGAGCTGAGGGCAGGATGTTTTTATTACGGAGCCCCCCCCAGCTGTTGGTAACAGAGCATTTATTTACACAGCAGGGAGTTACACAGGGAATTGTGGAGTTACATAGGGAGTTGTTAGCATTTATCAGCCCATCAAACAAAATGAAAGCCTCTCTCATTAGTTCAAGCTCTTCTTAAACAACTTTTTTCCAAGGAAGTAGTGGAGGGACACTACCAGCTACCTATTGATTAGCTCCAAATAGTCCTGAGACAACACTGTCCTGTCTGCTTTTGTCCTGTCTCCCACAGCATGGACCATAGCCAGCATGGGGTATGCTAGGTAATGCTGAGAGGCATCTGTATAAGGCAAAGGAGGGGAGGGAATCCCTGCTTGAGCAGGGAGCAGGGTGGGGAGGAGCAAGAGGAAGCCAGCCAGGTACCATTGTACCTTGCTGTCTGCAAGAGCTCGAGCTAGGGAGCAGAGGGGTGAGGCCAGCCCTTGTTGGATAGAGCAGAGAGCAGAGCCCCGCCCAGGGCTGCAAAGCATCTAGGAAGCTGGGGGACTCTGGTTTAACCTAAAACAGGAAGGGGTCTGGGACAGACAATGCATAAACTGGTTTGACCCAAATCAGTCAAGTCTGATACTACATTCAACCAGGTTTATCTCAGACCAGTTTCAGCAATTTTCATACTGGTTTATGTGCACTGAACACAGTGGCAGACCGACAGGGGAGGGGGCCATGGCCCCTGGGCAGAGGTGACCTGAGCAGGGTTCAGGGCCCAGGGTAAATTAGCCCATGTGGGGCCCCACCCCCACTCAGATCCCAGACCCCAAGAAGCTGCTGCCGCTGGTGATGCCGGTGTTGGCGGTGGGGAAGGGAGGGTAGTGAGCAGCTGGACATGGAGCCACAGCTTGGTTCAGCTCTGTGCCGCCGCTGCTCCACTCCACTCCACAGGGCCCCCCAAAGCACAGGGCCTGGGGTGGTCACCCTGTTTTTCCCCCCGTAGGGACAGTCCTGCTTGGGGGGGGCACACTTCAGAGTCTTATCTCATGACATGGCTTTAAGTATTGCTATGAAAACGAAAGGGGAGTGGGGATAAATGCATACGTTGGCCCCTGGGTGCCAGAGACCCATGGTACATCACTGACTGAACATCTGTTCTGTTACAGGTTTAAACCAGTTTCTGTTAACTTCAACTGGTTTATGTGTAATGTCTGTCCCTAGCCTTAAGGTCTGTTATTGTTTTAACATATTTTCCCAAGAGTTAATAAAGTGAATTAAAATGTGACATATTTTTCAACATTGTATATAAATGCGTATTTATTTATTAATTTATTTGATTTACATGTTGCCCTTCCTAAAATATTTCAAGGTAGTTTACAGTAAGACAAAGAGAACCAATTAAAAACAGGAGAGTGACAAGAGAAAAGCATTCATCGATCCTTCATGCAAGTATGCCTAATGCTCCCTGTACTCTTTTATCTACACTTGAACCCTTTGCCCCTTCTCTTCCCTGTTCACCAGGTCCATACTCTATCTATCTTTCTGCCCTCTAACTTCCCTTGCCACCATCCTCTCCCATACCTTTCTCCTCAACTGGCCTCTGGCTACAAGCATCTTTGGTTTTCTCCCAATCCTTTAAAACCTACCTCACCAACTACCACTTCTACTTCCCCATAGCCCTGACCTCACCTTCCTCCTTGGCACCTTTATCTTGTCACTTTTTGCCCTTCCATAGTGCTCCATAATGGCTGTAGTTATTCCCATCCTGGCTTCTGGTGGTTTCGAGCATCTTTCCACCTCAGAATTTTGTGCCTGCTACTACAACAGCCCTGGACAGCTGTGTATATAGTGTAAAAGCCGTGTTATCCAGCACCTTACAAACCAGCATGCTCTATTAACCGGCATGCCAGCTTGTAAGGTAAAAGCGAAACTGGAAGTGCCCACTGTGGCACTGTATTTTGGGCAGCTGTGCCTCCACACCACGCCAACCTCAGTACTGGAGCATGTACTTTCAAAGAAAATAATGTTAGTCCATTGCAGTAGGATCAAACCAGGATCAGGTTCTCTTTTTTATACCGGGTCCATGTAGGTAGAACACTACTGATTTTACTGGGGTGGCTCCTGATTTATACCAGTTTGAAAGGAGAATTAGGCCCTTTATTAACTATTTCAGTGCTAAGTCTTTGAACACATGGAGATTCAGTTGCTCCTTTGTAAGAGGTAAAAAATAAGAATCCAAAGAAGTTCATAACCTTAGCTGCTGTTGAAGGTTGCTGAAATTTAAGCCTGCTGCTGATAGTTCCAAGGGATTGTTTTGGTAGACAGAAATAAGTGGGCATGAGGAAAATCTGGTCAGACCCCTTTTCCTCACCCAAATCTCAGAGTCCAAGTGCCAGAAGTGGGTGGTGATGGAAGAGATAACATTTCTCCTCTTTGATGCAATAGGATTCCTGTACATGAAGAATTATTTGATGTCTGGCTATGCTGCCTCCATGAGAAGACCTAGGTCAGACAGTAAGTGGGAAAGGCTGATTGTAGACAAAGTGCAGCACTAGGTCAAACTAGGTTTAATAAGAGCATCATGAATCCATTGTAGGAGTTTTCCTTGTGTTGCTAGCTGGGTTACACTTGAAGTTAGGCAGTGGTTTGGGGAGACTTAAAGAACAAGTGATTTGGAGTGTGGTGCTTCCTTTGTCTAGCTATAGGTTGTTGTCTCATTCAGTTGGATACTCCTGATGTTATATTCCTTCTTGGGGCAACAGCTTGGTGTATTCTTTGTCTGATTAACACCATGCCTTAACAGCAGGGATGGCACCTTGGGTAATACATTTTTCTTTAAAAAAACAATAAGCTCTTAACTGATTATAAGTGCTTCTAGCAATTGAAAATGATGTGCTAAAGAAATACCTTCTCAGTTCTTATCTTAATAAATAAATAAAATAAAGCCCCTGATGTAATTTAAAATTCTGGACCAAGTGAAAAGAGCACAGTTGGTAGCAGGAATTGAAGGTGACAAGAGACCCTGGATTTCTATAGATTAGATAAATCTGAAAGAATTAACTGACATTAGCAAAACGAAGCAACATGACAAATTTTAAAAGCCACACAGTGGAATTGGAAGATTATAGTTGGTAAGGATGGGGAGCGGCAGAGTGTGTGAAAGTGTTGTTGAGACAGAACTATAGCAGACTGAATGGGAAAGAGCAAACTGCAGCTGACTGACAATTACTGCAACTGCATACGAAGGGTAGAGAATATAGTGCAAAGCTTATTTAAAGATCAATAGATATTTTTTTCCCAATGTGAAAGGTCAAAAGTTAAGGTAAAAGAGAAACGTACCTGCCAATATATGGTGTTTGGAGAAAAGAAAAATCAGACCAACATGTTTATACTTGTTTCTAAGCACATTTCTTTATTCATGAATTAAAAAAAAATACTCTAGTTTTCTCAGTGAAGTGTGTAAGATTCTGATGAACTGTTCTCGTTTTTCTTTCTCAGTTAGTTATTGGCCGATGAGCATGAAACTATACAGTGAGATTACATTGGCTCAACATTTGTAAATATCTAAATATGATTCATTAAAGATAATACAGGAATCTCATAGTACAGTGTCTCTAAACATGTTTCAGTTTATCGTGCTTTTAAATAATGACTGATTGGGCAGCTTTAGTGATGCCACATCTCCAAAGTCCAAGCTTAACTTAAAGCATGACAGCTTCTGCCAAAACAGAGACCTGTGAGACAGAAAGCTAATTAAGGGGATGGCCACAACTGCTTTCCTGCTGGCATATGTCTAGAAGGCCAATGCAACCGGATAGAACATGAAAGAAGGAGCTGGAGAGAGGGGTGGGGAAGGAAAATATTTCATTGCATAATCTAAACCCCACTCAAGCAACTAGGGACGAAAGGTAGCAGGAGGTGCTCTTTTAAGTTCCAACCTAAACCAAAATTCCATATAAAGAAATGAATATTGAGTATGATTAAAGAAGTGATGTTATCTCTGCAGAAGCCTCTGGTGAGATCAAAGCTGAAAAACTGCATCCAGGGCTGATATCTAGTTTGTATTTTGTGCAAAGAGCATTAAAAAAATGGGGCGGGCTCAGAGTGGAAAGCTACAAGAATTATTTGAGACCTACTCAATGCTTATTTTAATGCCCTCCTGCATGCAGCTTTTTGAAGAGAAAGTCATGAGGTGACTTAACTACAGTATATTGGGAGTGTATCTCTCATATCCAAAAGCTGTATATTTTATCAGACTAAGCCACGATAAAAACTGATGGCTAGAAGTAAAAACTGGAAAAAATCAAACAGGACATAGGCACATATTCTCAACATCTAAGATTAATGAGTGGAATATATTACCTAGGGCATGAAAAAGTTAACGTGACATCTTGGAGTATCTATGGCTGCACAGCAAAGACCACCCAGAGAAGTTATTTAAGCTTGCAGTCACAAAATACAATTACAGTTAAACAGCATCCATTAGATTTCATTTGTTTTTAATACATAGCAAAGAAGAGAGATTAGCAGTTAGGTTAAGGTCACATGCTAAAAGCTGCAAAAATATTTTTGGATAACACTCTATTTTAAGGATGGATTCAATTATCACTGAATTGTGATGGCATCCCCAAGGGGACAGATGTGGCAACTAGGGTGCTGTAGACTGCATTCCTGATGAGGAGTGCTATTTAAATGAAAATAAAATCATACTAAACACCAAATAAATTCATATTAAAAAGTTTTAATCATCTGACACCAAGCACAAATGAAAACCATTGCTGAAACACTGCCATTGTTGGAAGTAAGTAGAGTGAACATATTTATGGACATTCATGTAAAAGAGGAAAGAAACACATTCATATCATTTTAAACAATTACCATAATAGCAAATGCTAAAGTTCTTACAGATATCTGAGGTTAGGAAGATTCTCAAAGGCATCTCGGTCAATGTACAAAAGGTTATTCGCTTTCTCAATTCTTCTGTGAAGGAAAAAAACCAAATGTAAGAGCAAATGGACCAATATATCAATTTAAAAAATACATATAAGAAGTGAAATGTATTCTGGGGTTCTTCTGATGGTGAGAAGGGAGTAGCAATTTTATGTAAGTTCAAGAGAACACCAGCAAAGGGAATCCCAGACTTCAACCCTACACGACATTGCCAGTGGTTTAAGGATGCATTTTATGTAAGAAGAAATAGTTTAGAGGAAAATAGGTTAATGTGATTGGGAGAAGATAGGGAAGGTGAAATGAGGAGAAAGGAAGCCAGTGGAAAAGGAGAGCCTCTGGATGCCTGCATACATCTGAAGTTTTCAAAGTTTACCTGCACTGAACCACCAAACCTTACATACCTGGCTACCACTAGCCATTACACTGATACCCTCTGATCTTATATTGCTCATTTACTTACATCTCATGTAGCTTAGGGAGGTTGGAAAACACACTGGCTTCAACAACTTCTAAGACATCGTTCTGTGAGATCTCTCTGTGGAGAAAAGGAATAGAGGTATTGCTTGTAAAGAGGAAATGATGTCAGAGAAAAAGGAGTATTTGGCACAAAGTCTCTATGGTAATTTTCAGTCTTAGATCCTAAAGCCCTTGACAGAGGAAATCAGTATCTCATTTTACTGATAAGGAAATGGAGATTCAGGAAAATCAAGGCAGCCTTGCCAAACAAGTGACAGAGTCTGAAATAGAGCCGGGTCTAATGACTTATCCACCACTCCAGGCTTCTCACAAGTGGGTTATATATATATTATACCAATCTCTGCACATGTTACATGATACAGCAGAATCTGCCTGACGTACTGTTTACTGGATCTCTGTCATCACTAACTAGGCATATAGATTAGGCAAGAGAATGTCATAACTTGATGACAAAATAGGATGGGGCTGAGCTTGCAATGGAACAGCTCCCAAAAAAGAAGCTTTTGTTATAACTGTACCACATGCTGATATTTTTCTCTGGCATAAATTGTTGAGCCTACTTCAAATTCAAATTAAATGCATTTTCTGAGTTCTGCTAGCAGGTTTTAAGGGTGACGCCGGGTGCACTAGAGACGATGCACATTTCCTAGCCCTAGCACAACAGAGGAAACTGCTTAACCCTGGTCACTCTACAGGACTGCTATAGAGCTGCAGAATGGAAATGGTTTTTGTCTTCTTTTATGAACACACAGGGTGGCTCTCTGGTTGTGCAAGAATGCACTTGCCTATACAGTGTTTCTTTTTCTGTGGCTTCTCAGACTACCTTTGGGTGTTTTAGGCTATGGTGTCATTTTGGGCCCGGAGAAACAATGTTCACATCAGTGTAACTGGCAGTACACCTGTATAAGAAGCATGACTGACATATGATATAAACCCCTAAAATGGAGGAACTTCACACAATCTGATTCAGGATTATCTCTCAAAGGATCAGGGGTAAAACCCCATGGGGATAAATTACAACAGTTTAGGTGCCACCTGTCTGCTTCTATCCTGGGGTTGTCATTTGCTATCAGCTGCTCCCCTAACCACCTTGTGGCAAGGTACAGTAATATCCACATGTGGGCAGTTAAGGTGGATAGCTGAACATCCGTCCATTCCAAAACCTGGTACACTTTACATAAAGATGCATATTGATGTAAATTACAACAGGGCATGCACTGTGTCTGCATATGCCCTAATGCCTCAATTAGCTGTTATGCCAGCCAGAAATTGCTGAAGAGCAATACATTTGGGTAAGACCTCCAATATGTCCCCATGCTGACAGTGACCAGGACTTCCTGACTTGGATTCCAAGCTGCCAGTTTGGGAAGTGGGGCTGAGGGGCCATTTTTTCAGGTTGGGATCTGGTCAGTTATGTATGATTTGGTCCATTTATGTCACATGATTCAGTAATATCATTGTTTTTTGTTAGAGACATATCAGAGCACAGCTGCAAAATGAAGTCCTAGAACATGATCATACCATTTATGAGCATCATTTATTTATGGTTATTTTGTTCTTTTGAAATTAAGCTAGTGGCAAATAGGCTCAGACAGGGCCTGAGGTACTGTAATGAGAGATTATAACTGTAAGTAAAGGGTCAGCCATAAAAAAGTATTACAAATAATATACCAGTATATAAAATAGTCCTTTTTCTTTTGAGAAATCATTGAACTGTACCTAACAAGGAACCTGCCCATTAAAGGAAAAAAAGATTTACAAAGGAAAATAAATTGGTCTTGTGACCTTTTCTGACTTTTTATTATTTAATAAGACAAAGAAGAAAAGCCTGGAAGGATTTTTTTTAAATCAAAAACTTTCCTTTACTTGCTTTTAACCTTAGAAATTCAGGTGGAAGCCTTTAGGATTAAGAAAACAAGTGAATATATGACTACCTAAACAACTGACTGATTAGCAAGTGAAAAAGGAAGTGATTGTTAGCTAGACTGCATTGGGAGTTGTAACTGAAGGGTGAGTTGCTCCAATCTTCATATTAGGGTAGGATCAAAATGGCTCAGCTGAGACTTGGGCTTCATCATGCTATGTAGTACACATGCATGTAGGAGAAGAGTGGTCCCCCAAGATAACAAAATGAAGAAATGAAAAGGGAAAAAGGAGGCACAGAAAGGCAACTGACTCATTCAAGGCCAAATGAGAAGCAAAGTGGGAAAAGAACCCTGTTTTCCTGTGAACTGGCTCTGGTTTACTATACCGTATAGAATTAAATCTCACACCTTAGGATGTAACCAAATAGATCTCAAAGACTTTCATTCTATCCCTATCTTCTACCATGATGACAAATAATCAGATATGCCTTATGTGTAGCATAGACTCAAGCTATTTGCTAGCATACCCTTTAGAGGATTTAATGAAATAAAAGTTGTCTAAAGTAGACTTAGAAGGGGGGGGGGATTCTGTTTTCTGCAGAATATTTTGTTTTCTGCAATCTGAAAAATCAGTCACCTAGAAAAAAGAAAAATCCATGGAAAATGAAGAACTTGTAATATCTGCAAAGGATTTTGGTTAGGAGAAATTTCACACTGCAAAACAGCACAAAGACAAATGCTATGATTTGCATTATGTGGTGCAGCTTCATTGAAGAGCAAAACAAAGGCATTACTATATTTTAGCAAGCGCCCCAACAGATGGTGCTGCTGAGGTTAATAATATTTTATGATCCGGTCCAATATGTGAGCCCAGCTGTGTAACAGAACTGGCAAGACATCCTTTTTAAAGGACGCTTATTTATTAAACAGCTTTACATCAGGAATATGTTTTTGGCATTAGAAGATTAAGGTTGATGGTGTGTTACTTTTATTTTTTTTTTAAATTAGTGAAGGTAAGGTACAAGGGGATTTTTGTTGTTTATTTTTAAGGCCCAAGAGGTCATAACATTTTGGAATGGGAGAAAAAATTATTTTAAAAAGAAAAACAGGGAAACCAGAAATCTTTGTTTTGGATTTAAAAGCTTTCCCCTAAAATGTAAGCACCCAAGAGGTACACAGATAGCATGTGTTTATGCAAATGTTTGTTGAATGAGTGCTAGCCACATGAATATTAGCATTTCTGTACATACAAGGATGTTTTGGCACAAAGAAGAGTGTGGCAGGGCACCTTTGGTGCCTGTCACTTTGAAGGCAGAAAACAGGCAGCAACCAGGTGCCCGTTCAGGGCAGCCATTTTGGACCCAGAGATATAAGCTAGGCTGAAGTTTGCTGCAGGAAGGGAGGAGGTAACATCAGGCTGAGAGGCTGCTCTGGCAATATCAGGAGGTAAGGGCAGGGACTATGGGGTGGAGGTGACCTCTTGTCCTGCATGAGACCTAAAACTGCGCCCTGTTGGGGGAGGGTGGCCTGGTGGGGCTCCTAGTGGCATGGGAGCCCCCAGGAAATGCCAGGCCAGTTACCTCTCTAGTGAAAGGCGGGTCGGGGCACCTCATAACCCCAGCCCACATCCGTGGTGGTGTTTTAATGGGCAGGGGGAGCCCAGGGCTCAGCTAAAGAACCTTGAGGCAGAGCTGAGGTCAGAGGAGGGACCTGGGGCCATGCCCAGGCAGCAGGGTAAAGCCTGGGGGTGCGAGTTAGGCCCTGAATGAGAGGGGTGATGAGCAGAGAGACCCTGAGAGAGGGGGGGCAAAGACTAGAGCAGGCAAGTGAGTAGAGACCCCATGAGTAGGTGAGTGAGAAGACCCAGGGGGGGCATAATGCCGGGCAAGGGGCCAGGACTGAAGTAGGCCCACAGTTGTACAATCGCTCAGTCAATGCTCAGGTGAAGGTAGTGGGAGATACCCAAGAGACTGCAGTGGGGCTGACTGAGGCTAAGCTCGAAGCTGGGTGAGGCCAGGCAGCATGAGTGTGGCCCCGAGAGCGGGCAGTATGAAAGAGGCTGGGTGAGAGCCAGGGGAGTAAATGGGATCCGTGAGAGAGGGGTGGCATGTGAGTGGCCCTCGGGCTGTAGGGTAGAGCTACAATTGTGTGCCCAGTTTGCTCTGGCCATAGGCCAGAGAAGTAACACACACAGAGTAACATCTGTGACGCATGGGACCCATGGAAGGGTGGTTGGAGTGGGTATTAAGGCCCTTGTCAGCAGAGTGAGTAATGGGTAGCCTCTTGCCTTAGTAACAACTCTCATATTTTTCAATTATGGTGTGGCAGACAAGTGAAGTGGGTGGTTACCCCCAGGAGCAGGGCGGCTGGCGGAGACCCGACAAGGACGCCACCCTGTTACAAAGAGCATTTTGTCTTTGTTATCCATTGCTTGTCATTACAAGTTTCAGTAATTTAGCTTAGAATCAGAAACAAAAACTCATAATTTTATGATTTGGTCACACACCATGAATGAGGTGAATTGAGCAATCCAAACAGCAGGTGATCTGAAATTTAAGTTGTTTGAACAATTACAAATAGAGAATAAATAAACCAAACCCATACTTTGTTCATGGAAAACTCAAAACATACACTGACTGCTATATTGACAGCTGCTGAATCAAACTAAGAGAAATAGATTAAATTAACAGACCCAAATTCTCTGGATATCTGGTATGGAGGAAAGCATGTAACCCACTAAATACCACACTAAAATAATAAAAGGGGACTATGTTTATTGGATAACTTATTTGTATTGAATAATGCTGTCAAATCTTGTACAACCTAATGCTGCAATGATGGACAGCAAGTTAAGCATCCTATCTGATACGTACGAGTCTTTGGATATGTCCAAACAAATCAAGAATTCCCAAAACATCAATGAGGAAACAAACTATGGTTTCATTCCCACAAAACTCATAACCACATTTAACTTTATGTACATTAATCATTCCAATAACATCAACAATGCTACTCATGAACATAAAGGCTTTTGTGGATCAGGCACTAAAATAAGAAAGAAAAGACAAGCCAGATTTTTTCAAAGAATAAAATAATAGACTTTATTCCCTTTATTCTTCAGTGAAACTGAAGTCTCTTAGGCTTGGTAACATCATACTCTAAAAGAGTATTCTCTAATTTATTCATAAAAAAG